GACATCAGCAGCAGTAGCCTAGCAGCAGTAGCGGCAGCGCGACTCGGCTAAAGGGCGCGGCTCGGCAGGGCGGCGCGGCTCGGCGGTGCGCTTACCAGGGGTGGGTGGGTAGGGTGGCCGCGACTGGGCGGCAGGGCAGGGCCGCGGCTCGGCTGCAGGGCAGGGCCGGGGCAGTAGTGATGGCAGCGGCGGCGGCGGCTCGCAACACCGGCGGAGGCAGGCTCGGCGGCGGCGGCAGGGACAGCAGCTGCTGCAGGGTTCCTCGGCGGCTGCTGCAGGTGGAGGCCGCAACCGGTGAGAGGGGCAGGGCGGGGCCGCAGCGGCGGGTCGATGCGGGGAGCCGGCGACGGCGGCCGCGAAGGGCCACGAAGGGGTCGCGAAGGGCGGCGAGGGGGCCGAGAAGGGCCGCGAGAGGGGCCGCGAAGGACCGCGAAGGGGCCGTGAAGGGCTGCGAGAGAGGCCGCGAAGGGCCGCGAAGGGGCCGCGAAGGGCCGCGAAGGGGCCGCGAAGGGCCGTTAGAGGGGCCGCGAAGGGCGCAAAGAGGCCGCGAAGGGCCGTTATAGGGCGCGACGGGGCGCTTAAGGGCAGGCGCGAAGCGCGCTTCGGGCAGGTAAGGGAGAAAAAGTCGTAGAGGTGGGCCCTTAGGAAAAAAAAACGGTCCCACTAGGGAACCCACTCTATACCATGTGAGAATAATACGAGGAATGAAATGACTAGAAATGAGTTGGGTACAAATAGGGAAACCTAGAAATGTAGTACCCCCTATTGTCTAACCCACTACAGCCTAAACAGGCTATAACATAAGTTTGACACCGTACTGCTACAGAATTTCGGCAACGGCCTACAGCCCATCGCCTACGAGTCACGAAAGCTGCATCCGCCCGAGAAAATTTACCCAATACACGACCGCGAAATGCTCGCAATCGTGCATGCGTTCAAGGTCTGGCGCTGTTACTTGACCGGCCAGACGTGACAGTACGGACAGACCACCGATCCCTACAGTTCCTCCGCGCACAGCCCCACCTCAACCCACGACAGATCCGCTGGCTCGATTTCCTCGAGTCAAACTTCCACTACACGGTCACCTACAAAAAGGGAGCATCCAACATCGCTGACGCACTGACCCGCCCCACTGCCCAAATCCACGCGATACTACTCGCCCAGACCAGCCCGTTACTGACAGGACTATTTACCCACGGGTACCAAACGGACCCATTCTTCACAGGAGGAAATTCGCAGCAGTTCGCAGCAGCCAAGGGAGTCTATTACGTAAAAGCCGGGACCGACCGCATCTGGGTACCAGGGTACACACTGCTACGGGAATTTCTGTTACAGGAGGCATACGACGGAGTTACCTCGGGACATTTCGGGGTAGAGAAAACACGGCAGCAGCTGCAGCGGTATTACTATTGGCCCGAGATGCTGACCGACGTGCAACGACACGTGGCATCGTGTCCCACCTGCCAGCTCATGAAGTCGTCACGATAACGACCGGCAGGACAGTTGCAGCCGATACCACCCCCAGAGCGTGCTTGGCAGCAGGTGACGATGGACTTCGTCACGGGGTTACCGGCTGGAGCAAGTGGGAACGACGCGATCTTGGTCGTCGTCGATCGGCTGACGAAAATGGCACACTTCGCAGCATGCAAGAAATCAATCACAGCCGAAGAAACAGCTCGCCTCTTCATCGCCACCATCGTTCGATTACACGGGATACCAGCAGCAATCATCAGCGACCGCGATACGAAATTCACCAGCAACTTCTGGCGGAACCTGTGGCAGCAGTTCGGCACGCGACTGCAGTTCAGTTCATCATACCACCCCGAAACCGACGGACAGACAGAACGGACAAATCAGACCATGGAACAGCTCATCCGGGCCACGTGTGACGACCCGACCACGTGGGAACAGCAACTACCACTCATCGAATTCGCATACAACAACTCGCCATCCGCCACGACCCAACAGTCACCGTTTTACCTGAACTACGGACAAGACCCCACAGTACCCATGACCCCGAATCCCGACAACCCAGTCCCACGCGCGCAACAGTTCGCATAAATACTGCAAGCAGCACGGACCTGAGCAGCCGAAGCAATAAAAAAAACAAACATCATCGCTAAACGCAACGCTGACCGCCACCGCCGACCTGTCACTTACCAGCCAGACGACCTAGTTCTACTCGACACTCAAAACCTCCGCCTGCCCATCACCCCAAAACTCCGCCCCCGATATTGCGGGCCATTTCGCATCAGCCACATGATCACACCCGTCACCGCCCATCTCCTCCTCCCTGCTGACTGGTACGTCCGCCCGTCATTCCACGTCAGCCTGCTTCGCCCATACGTGCCATCCACCAGCCAACTGCCTCGCAACCGCCCCGCTAGCATGACACGACCGCCGACTGAGCCAATCATCACGCCTGAGAAAATACTGAGCCATCGAGTACGTGACCCACGGGGAGCCCGCAGAATCGAATTCCTGATCCGCTGGAAAGACCGCACGCCCACCGAAGACAACTGGGTCCCCTTGGATAGAATTGAGAATCATCCTGTCCTCACTGAGTATCTGCGCAGCCGAAACTTCCGAGATGTACACGCGCTCTCGTAAGAGGGGCCTCCTTGGGGAGGGGGGTAGTGTAAGGAAAATTCCTTTTCCTTACTTCGCGCCCCTGCTTACCGCGTACATAACCGTTCCCGCCATCAGCACCCATCCATGCACGTTACCCATTCACGACACTCGCCTCGACCACGACTCCCGCCACTGTTCACGACGCAACCCAACCTAACGGTTCGGTTGGTAAACCGCGATCCGGACCTCCGCCTCGACAATTCTCCAAACCTCGGCGCTAGGCCCGTAGCGCATTGTCAAATATGTTTGTATACATTTTGTATAACTGCCTACAGTAGTGTAGTGTAGATAGCAATTGTATCTGTTGGTGGTGCACCCTCTCTCTCACCTATATGTTCACAACATTCTATAGTGAAACCCCTCCATTCTTGCCTTCCCCGTGGTACCATCTTCTCGATACCCTCCTTGCCTAGGCTCCTAAGCCTAGGCATCCTTACTTTCAATTACCTCCTTAACTCGACATGGTATCAGAGCGGTCTCGGGTTCGAATCCCGGTGTATGCACATGTAGACCGTTGCCGCTATGCTCAGTCCTGGGCCTTCCAGTGTGGGGGGGTGTCAGTAGATCTGCACTGTGGATGCCCGATAGATCATAGGGGGATTACAGGCGCGTTCGCCTGGGGGGTTATGGGCGCACAAACCCGCTACACAAACAAGCACTTTTATCCCAATGGTCTAGTGGTTGGGATTCTGACATGCTATCAGAGCAGGTCCGTTCTTAAGGACCTCGTTAATTTTATTTCGCCATGGCTGCCCTCGTTGCCATGGCGATCGTTGCAGCGCCCTTCGAGGCGCTCGCCCGGTGCCTGCCCCGCACTGCTCGCCCCGTGCTACCCGCCCCACGCGCTGGTCGCCCCGTCCCGCGCACTGTCGCGTCGCCCCGCCGCTGGTCGCGGACGCCAGCGCCAGCGCCTCCGACCGTCGCGAACGCCGGCGCCACCGCCAGCGACGTGCGCCAGCACCAGCGCCAGCGCCGGTCACCAGCGCCACCGCCAGCGTCAGCGCCAGCGACATGCGCGAGCACCGGTCGCGAGCGCCAGCACCAGCAGCAGCCGCCTGCGACCCCGCCATCGCCACCCCGCTCCCCGCCTCCGCACCTGCTGCCGCCCTCTTCTACGGGGGACATTGCGGGGGGGAGGTGGCAGGGCTCGCGCCCTCGGCTACGGGGGTACTTAAGCCCCCTTGAGCCCTCCCGCCCCTCCCTAATCCTCCTCCTCATCGCTGCCCGTGCATGTGCGGTGCGTGCCGCGTTGTGGGGGGGGGGGAAGAGGGTATGGGGGTGGCGGGTATGTGACGGTAGCCGCCCCCCCTTCTCCTCCTCCTTCCGCTGCACTTCCTCTCATCCTCCTTCCGCTGCACCCTCTCCTCACTCCAGCAGCCGCCTCTCCACTCCTCCTCCTCTCCTCACTCCAGCAGCCGCCTCTCCACTCCTCCTCCTCTCCTCACTCCAGCAGCCGCCTCTCCACTCCTCCTCCTTGCTTGCGTCAGCTCCAGCCGTACTGCCTTGTGGGGGAGAGGTTTGGGGGGGGTGGGGGGTGCCGTGAAGCCAGCAGCGCCAGTCGCCAGTGAGCCCGTTGCTCCAGTCGCCCGTGGGTCAGTTGCTCTAGCCGTACGAGCGGAATGCTCCAGGCGTACGAGCCCGTTACCCCAGTAGCCCGTGAGCCAGTAGCTCCAGTTGCCAGTGTGCTAACAACTTCAGCCGCCGCCCACCTCCTCTCTCTCTCTCTCCTCCTCCTCCTCGCTTTTCCTCTCCTCCTTCCGCTGCTCTCTACCTTGGTGCACCCCTGCAGGGAGTGTTGTCTGCACGTGGTTTCTACTGTGGGCAGTTAGGGGGTGTGTCAAATATGTTTGTATACATTTTGTATAACTGCCTACAGTAGTGTAGTGTAGATAGCAATTGTATCTGTTGGTGGTGCACCCTCTCTCTCACCTATATGTTCACAACATTCTATAGTGAAACCCCTCCATTCTTGCCTTCCCCGTCATACCATCTTCTCGACACCCTCCTTGCCTAGGCTCCTAAGCCTAGGCATCCTTACTTTCAATTACCTCCTTAACTCGACACGCATCTCAATTTCCCACTTTACCGTTACCACTGTAGTTTCGCTATATATTCTTCGCTCATGCCTTCGCTCATTGTACGCTTGCTTCGATAGTGCAATTCTCGCTCGTTCACTCAATTGCACTCGTAACAGATGTACAGATACAACTGCACCTCACTAAGAAATACACACAAATAAACAAGAGCAAGCTAAGCTAGAGTTTGAAAGTATTGTTTGGGTCGCCTGTGTTAGACAGCTCCTTCGGCAATGCCTCACAGGTAAGTACATCCAAGCAGCGGCGCCATCACCAACACCATCGCCAGCGCCATCACCACTGCACGGCATCACGGAACAGTGGCTTCACGTTGTCGCCAGGATAATACCACATGTGCATGCCACTGAACTTCAGCGCCACCACTGATGCCGCACCGGCGCACGAATCCACCCCACCGAATCTCGTCATGTCTGTACCAACAGTCATCGGCCCAGAGCGGCCTGCAAGGGCATCACAGGCAGCAGCAGCTGCTTCTGTTGATGTCGTGCCGGTGTGAGCCTTTGCAGCAGGATGGTGTAGGTTTGATGGCCCTTGTTGAGCCTGCGATGGCGGATGGTTATTATCATCCACTGGTTGGATGTCCAGGGTTTCTATGCGAATGCCTGCTATGTCCATGCGATGACACAACTCCTCCACGTCTGCACAGATAACAGACAACAGACAAACAGACAGCAGGCAACAGGAGGAAAGGAGGAGGTAAGGTAAGGTTTGAGACGATTAAAAACGGGACAGATGCGATATAAAAAAAGGTACCAGTGGACGTTTTTGGGTGAGCTGAGAAAGAGAGATGATTCACCTTCCCAGTTCAGGCAGGCTGACTCAGCAAGGAATTGCGCTTCGCGTTCCGCCTCACCCATCCCTTCCTCCTCCGGCCAATGCTGCTGCCCTCTCGTCTCCTCCCCATCCATTTGTAGATCGTCGTCCGCTTGCTCCTTCACACCCGCTGCTGCCACCGTCCGTCGCCGCATGTCCTCCCATGTAGTTCGGGACACAGGCGTGTCTAGCCCCGCAGGTGCAGGATCACTAGCCAGGGAAGAGCATTTGGGCACGAAAAGACTGCTCATTCTCGTAGCAGCCATGCCAGTCGTGCCATTTGCGGCAGAAGAGTCGGCGGTGGCGGCGGTAGGGGAGTCGAGGCCGCGTAGAGGCAGCGAGGACGTGCGGTTAGGAAGGCCGAGGCGCAAGCGTTCCGTCACGAGCCGCGGCGGGCGCGATCTGCTGCTGTCCGCGACGGACGGTGCAGTGCACACGCGGGAAAACGCCGCGCCTCCGTCCTCATCAGCGAGGTAATCGGCGGACCGCCGTGGGGATTTTGGGCGGGACGAGAGAAGATACGACGGCGTTGTATCCCTCTCTTTCCTTTCTGCGAGCGACGGCACGTCGTTTTCGTCAATGGTGCTAGTCGCGCTTCCCAGAAGCGTGCTGCAGCGGGAGATGGGCGGCGTGAAGTCGCCGTAGCCGCCGCCGCCGCTGCTGCTGCTGCCGCCACTGCCGACGGAACTGGAGGCGGAGGAGGAGAAAGAGGAGCGGCGCGCGAGCGAGAAGGTCGAGATGACGGAGGAGCGCGCGGAGCAGGCGGACGGCGTGGGGGAGGCCGCGGGCGAGGCGGAACCAAACGGCGCGTTCTCGCGGAGCTGCGACTGCGCGGAGAGAACTCCGACTCCGAGTCGGAATGGGGGCACTGAGGATGACTCGAAAGCGTCGGACGCTTCTTCGAGCGTCACAGCCTTGGACTCAGTCTTGGAGTGTGCCGGAAAGTCCGCTGAGGAATCTTCAAACGACGCTTCTTCGATCGTCACGGAAAGGGCCGATTTGTGATGGCTGACCGGCGTGGGATTGCCGCGTTGCACGCGCGGCTGCTGCTTCGTCTTCCTCGTGGTAGTGCCGCAGGAACTCTCCGTCTTATCTTCTCGCCCCGACGCTGACGCGAAGCCTGCTCCTGGAGCTTCCCGCTTCGCCGGCGCCGCCGGCGCCGCCGGGGTGGAGGAGAGTGTTCTATTCCGGGTCTCGGCGCGGGGGGCGTCTTTCCGCCAGTTTTGCGCGGGAATGGGGCACACCTCGCTGGCCAGCATGCGCGTTTCTTCCGCCTTCCGCGCCGCCTCCCGCCAGTCCACGCACGGAATTGGGCAAATACTTTCCCCTCCTGAGGAGAGGATTCCGAGGTGGAACGACGAAGAATTGACGCCGCAGGCGGGCCCGACGCCGGCGGAAGCGGAGGCGGACGTGGAGGCGATGCCTGCCGCGCTGTTCTGAGCGCTGATTCCCGCCGTCGGGGCGGCATTTGCGGGTGTTTTCACCGCTGTGAAAGTCGCTCGTTTCGGAGCCGGATATGGCTGTTGCTGCTGCTGCTGCCAGCTTTTCGCCGCGTCGAACATGTCAATCGAGAGAACGAAGCTCGACGAGGGTCCGAACCCGTTGGACCCTGCAGGCTGGGTTGCTGGCGATGCCCGTGACGACATGCATGTCGCCATTGGAGGAGGAAAACGATACAAAGAAAGTGAGATTGTGCTCGAGCGGCAGACGTGGAAATGGGGAAAACGCGAAGTGCTGAGCAACCAGGGTCGCCAGGAGTCTATGTAAGGGCGAATGCTTGATCCCACTTGCGATTGAGATTGTGATGTGAGGTGGAAGAAGTCCTTATGTGTGTTGCGACGAAACTGACGCAGGTGGCGGTGGTGGTGCGGTGCGATACCACAACTATGGAGGGGCTGGCTCAATGCATTCGTTGCTGCTGGATGCACCACAGACAGGAAGGATGATCGCAGGGGCCCAGAACAGAACACAACGACGAAACGAAGTGTGGTGCGGTAACTGGTGCATCCCGGACAGGCACGCCACCTCTTGCTTCGAGTCGCGTGCATACACACATTGTCAAAAGGGGTTACTCGGGCAGAAAATGCTTTTATTATAGACGTAGCGAGAAACCGCAACGAATTGGCGGTTCAAACAGCGAGAACCAAACGAAATTATGAGTGGGAGACGAAAATGGCAGCCAGACTCCACCACACATTGAGGCAATTATGACAAGCTTGCGCGACACGGTCAGCACTGGCAGGGAACGTTAGATCGAAGGCGATGGAAAATGGGGGGAGAACGCGGCAATAAGCAGAATGAATGCATTGAGCTTGAAAAGAGTGCACACGGAGGCCCATTGGCTGCTTATCCGATCAAGTGACAGTCAAAAGCGCTCAGAGATTCCCCACCCCACCATTTCTCAGGTGAAAAAGTCGGTCCTTTATCCACAAGGCTCGGAGGAACTGTTGGCAGCAGCCTTCGAGACTCCGATGTGACATGGAAAGTGCAAAAGTGCGAAATACTCGTTTTAGTGTATCTCGAAACGTGAGAAAGCTAACGGCCTAAACCCTATTCTAGAAGTTCAAAAAGTTCCCGAACTCCCCGTCCCTGTGCTTGGGTGGCGTGGAGTCCCTATTTCCAATAAGCGCGCATGACACGAAGCTGGAACCGAAGTAGGATAAAAAGGTTGACACGAGCAGAGGTCACCCGAATGAAAACATCAGCTGAGCCCAGGAATCTCGAAAGCCATACTGCCCTCTCAGGTCGCTAAAAAACAGCTGCAACGTTACACACCAAAATAGTCGGCTCGGATTGGGTGCATGTGCGACGGGGCTTGCATTCCACGCACGTGACTCGAGGTTCAGCCTGCCCTCTGCTCTGCAGGGAGGGCAGCATCGGTCACGTGGTACAATCATGAAAATAAAACCGAAGTCCAGAACACCACCGTGGCTTGCTTCTGGAAATCCAGTGTACACCCTCATTCTCGATAGACTGGCATATGTTATACTGACAAAGACGCTTAGTGTGACCGCACCGGACCCAAGAAGGTCCCAATCACATGCGTTATAGTGACAATTTTACCCAGGGCGTTTAGTCAAGATTTTTTAAGTTCTGGAACGGTACTGTTGTTTTCAAAGCAGTTGGGATGGTTATTCAACGTTAATGGTTTTTACGGCCCAAGGCGTGTTTCAAACCCTCGTGCGACTTTGCCCGCAACCGAGTTATCTCACCAGCCCGCTACGTCCAAACACTGTAGCCAGTGCTTCCGCCGGTGAGATAGGTGAGAAAGAGGGTGTATTCCGAAACTTGCACCGGGATTTTATATGTTGGAAGTGCAACGTTCGCCTCATCCAGCTTTACTAGTTCTGTCGTTACGTTTGCTTCCAGCGGGACGATGTGTGGTCAGCGGATTGCTCCCCACAGTTCCTTTGAGATCGCATCGGATATCTTGTATTTTCTCGTAGTGCTATGTTTCGCTACATTGTTAATTTTACAGATGTGTAGGTCCCTCAATATGTCTAACAGGTACCTAATTTAGAGGTTGACGATTGACATGTTTGAGTCTCATATACAAGATTCAGGATGTAGTAGTTGCAATTTAAAACTGGTTATGAAATATTAAAGGCAGTTACCACTGAAGGAATCCATGCAGCATTTGATGCAAAGCTCTCTCTAAGATATTTGACGGAGGACGTACACTTCTCTGAGAATATAAAATGCTTATCGTTTATCGAAACAGGCAAGTTCACCGGACGAGGCGGTTGTGCAACTTCACCTTTTCGTTGCAGGAAGCGATCTTGTGGGCATCTCCGAACCGCGTGTGACAGAGATTTCCCTCTGCCACATTTCGCGCCGCTCATAAAGCGCCCCGTCCTCTTCCACAACGGCGCGACAAATTCCTGGCAGAAATCTCCTTCCCTCCTTTCAGCGCACCTGCCAGCCAGCCTAGGTCGAAAAGTGATGAGAAATTTCGACTTTTCGTTTTCGCGCAGTCGTCGTCGCGTCTCGTCTCCTCGTAACCCTTTCGCCAATATCTCTTCCTTGACTCCTCCCAAAACATTTCTTCGTTCGCGCACACACCAATGCCAGCCAGCACTTTCTTTCCGCGCACACCTTTTGTACCCGCCTGCGGCCTTCTCTGCAGAGTCGCTCCCACCCAAGTCTTCTGCACAGAACTACGTCCCGAGGCGCCTGTGACCGCCGACAGAGAGACACACAATACCTCCTGCGTGTCCTGTAGAGCTCAAATTCCATTGCCTGCTCTCACCAGAGTCTAATCCATGTACTCTTTCTTCCTCGGAGCATTTTACGAGCGATAGTTTCTCATTCCGTTTTGAACAGCTCAAACCCAGGCACCTTTCTGCCCCTCAACTCGGTTTAAACAGCAAAACTGAACACCTTGTTGTTGTTGCTCACCAAAACAGAGACATTGATTCCCAGCAAACAGCCATGATACCCTCTAAGCTCCTCTCCATCCTCGTCTGCGCGTTCCTCGTCGCCCAGGTTCTACCATGCCTGGCTTCCCAGCATAGCGTCGCATCCGTCGCACAACGTCGCACACTCCCCCAGCGACGGTTCCTCGACGAAGCCGACGACCCGTACGCCGACCTGTACGACTACAAGGACTTCCCCACCGACGACGCGCCCGACGACGGTTCCGCTCTGGTCATCAAGGGCATTACAGACGAGAACCCCGACGGCGAAGGCGCCAGCGACACAGACGTCAGCGACAGCCGCGCCAACGGTCTTCTTCCGCTCGGCACGCACGGCGGCCGGGTGCCTTACCCGACTAAAGACCCGTCCCCGCCCACGAGCGCCAACGATACGGACTCCGGGCGCGGCGTGGAGGGTATTGCAGGGAGTGACGTGTGGTGGCGCAATAACTCTGGAAATGGCACCGCCGCGCCGCCTTCAACCTCTCCTCCGAGCCACGGCGACGGCGACGGTGACGGCGACGGTGACGGTGAGGGTAGTGCTGACGGTGATAGCTCGCCCGGCGAGAACCAGCAGAAGCAGGAGCAGGGTACGTCTGGCAGCAGCAATAGCACCTCCAGCGGCAGCAGCAGCAGCAGCAGCAGCGGCAGCAGCGGATTCAGCATCAACGGCCTTCCCGAGGGCGCGTCGATCGCGATCGTGGTGGCGTGCTGTCTGGGCGGCATCCTACTCATCCTCGGGTCGCTCCTCGTGGCGCGCATGTGTCTCGTCGGGCGCGTCGTGCCGTCCGGTGCCCAGCACAAGGGCAAGGCTGTGATGATAGAGGACGAGGAGGAAGGCCCCGGATCGCCATCGTCCATCCGGACAGCCTGATGACCGAGAGAGGGCAGGGGGAGAGAGGCGTCTCACTTGGAGAGACGTCGAGACTCGTGCGTTTACGACGCTCCTGATCTCCCCATCGGCATCACCCGTTTGACCCGTACTGACAAAATTCCGATCCCTCACCCGCTTCCTCCTCCTCCTCCTCCTCACGCTCCGCTCCCCCACCTTCCAACCCTTTACCCCCGCGCCGATCCTGTTCGTGTGCCTGGCGAATTCGGTACTACGAGGTGTTGGTCTCCTCCCTCGTGGACCACGAGGTATCTAGGGTCTTCGGTATCTAGGGTAAGGTTTAGGGCCGCGCGCTGGCGGTCTCAAATTCCCTTTCTCTTCCCCTTCTCTGTGTATTCCTTCTAGGATAGCAGTGTTAGGTATATTTACGAGGTTTTAGGGGCAGCATGTTGCATGCGTGCTAGTGTGCTGCCTTCGTTACCTATGCCCATGTAAGCCAGAGCCTTGGCAATGAGCTTTCTTGACATTAATTGACATTTGAAAACACTAGCCTGCTGGTGCTTGTTCTTGACATCAGTTGCACTGGACTACCTGGAGTGATCCACCGTACATTGACCAGCACATGTATCTGGTCGCCCCCCCCTGCATTTTGTCATCTTCTCCAGTGTTTAGGCTGTTATGAATCTTTAATGCCCTGGAAGTGAAGTGGAAACACAAACACATAAGCACAATAGCAATATAACAATAACCATGGGCCAAGCACCAGAATCAGCAATCCATTGTAGCATGTTCATCAGATATTGATCTTGCTGCAAATCCTCTCAATATATGCATTCTCCTCGAATATGTAGTGATGGCACTTGGCTCAGAGTTTGCATGAAATGGGAGCAGGAATACTTTGCTGATTCGGCTTATACATATTTTGTTTCTGGTTCATTTCTGCTTATTGTTACTTTCCTACTTTATCTTGCATACTGAAACCAGTTGTAGTACACGAAAACACTGGTGCTGGAGCAGAACCCAGAGCCCCCTTCTAGCCAATAGCGAGCTTCCAAATCCTACCTGCTCCACTGATTCGCCAGCGCCCCTGGCAAAAACCCAACCTGCAGGCTGGTGTTCTGGTGGTTATGGAGTCCGCGCCGCGATGGCGGGCACCTACGCGGTTCGAAATGTGCGCCACATTTTCCGACATTCACAAAGCAGTCAGAGTCTGGGAGCGGTGCATTCTGGCAAATCAGGCAAGGACTGGGAGGTTCAGATCGGGGGGAGACGCGTCCTACTCAGTCCTCAGTCTGTCTCTGTCTACGCGCGCGCTATCACACACGGCACGACATGGCAGCTGCACAAACTCAGGCATGACCAGACCAAAACGATTTCATTGGCTCACTAAAGCGTTTAATCCGCTGTACTTGCCTTGCCTGCTGTGATTGTGCTGATGCTCCTGCGATGGAGACTTGCATAATTCCCCCGCACGACCCACATATACCAGCCATTTTTTACTCGTCGAGTCTGCTCCTGCTGCTGTTTCCGGGTTCTGAAGCCGTTGTCTCCGTGGCAGGACAGCTTACCGCGCGAAAAGGAATCAGTGTCCTGGTCAAGTATTATCTCATGCCTTGCTCCATTAGCCTGTACGCCCTCACTTATCCTTTTTCCAAAGCTCCCCAATGCTAACGATGAACGCGGCAAAGCCAATCATGGCAAGTTTCAGGCTCTCTAGCACAGCCAGTTTCTCCCAAATCTTCCCTGGTTTTCCATGACCATTCCTTCCCTTCCTTTTACTTTCACGTCTTCATCTTACCTCGGCGCAGATTCGTCACCCGATTTTGTACATTCGAAGCCTAAGAAATCGACTCATCGTCTAGTATTACACTCCTACTTCCCCTTTTCACAGTTTCCCGTTTCCGATGAGAGGGCCAACCGTTGGCTCCTCTTCCCCCCGCGAGTCGCGGGGGGCCTTACACCAACCATTAACTACACTCGCTCGCTTCTCCAGATCGACACTCCTTCAAACCCGCTCCCATAAACTCGGAATTCGATCGGCTTCGTTTCGCGTCGCGCTCCTTCCTCTCCTCATCGCCCTCGTTTCCGCGGCGACAGACTCGTCGCATCAAGCGACGGAATCGCGCAAATCGCTCGGGTTCTCCCGCGACGATCGTGATCGGATCAACGGCCCCGATCGTAGCCCAGCGCGGGCTTCTCTAGACTCCCTAGGATCGTTGCACTCATTACAATGGCGCGGGCTTCAAGAAGTTGATTCGTACGGTCACGTCGATCCGTACAGTTACGATGATCCGTACGACTACGCAGACTTCCCCACAACGGGCGGACCCGTGGGCTACGACCCGTCGCAGCTGTTACCAACCGCCGTAACGGTTACAGATAACAGTTCGCAGAGCAGCAGTCGCGGAAACGCGCTCATGCCGCTCGCAATGCACGGCGGCAACATCCCATACTCCTCTGGAGTGGTCACCGCGCCGCCTTATTACACGGAGAATGGCGATCGCGTGGAAGGGGTTGAATGGTGGCGTCAGCACGTCGGCGGCGATAACTCCTCCCTCGCGGCGTCTCCGCCGGGTTCCGCGCCGTCAAATCCGGCCCTCTTTCCGCAGTTACCCGGGGCGGAAGGCGGAAACAGCAGCAGCAGTGCGCAGGAGGAACCACCCGCTTGGTGGATGGGCGAAAAGGGTCAAGCGGGGAGCCCGGGCGCGGGGGCAGCGGGTGGCGGAGAGCAAAACGGAAATGGCGGAGGGCAAAGCGGAGGGAGCGGAGGGAACGGGGGGGATGAGGGAAACACGGGGGTTGATAATGGTACCTCGAGCACTGGCAGTAGCAACAGCAGCAGCGGCAGCACCGGCGCCAGCGGCAGCAGCGGTGGCAGTAGCAGCGATGAGTCGTTCAGCATTAACGGGCTGTCTAAGAACGCTTCGATCGCCATTCTTGCGGGGTTCTGCTTCTGCGGATTGCTGCTGATTGCGGCCATGGTGGTCATCGCGCGTCTTTATTTCATAGGCCGCGCAAACACCGCCGCCGCCACCGCCGCCGCTGCCGCCGCTGCTGGCGGTGCCGCAGATCCCCAGCTTGTGAAAAAACTGGAAGACGAGGAGTATGACGGAGACGAGGAGAGTGGAAATGCAGCAGCCTTGGCGGGTTCTAGCTGCTGTGGCGCGATGGATAAAGGGGCAGCCGCGGAGAAGCCCGGGGAGGGCGGGGAGCGCGAGGAGCGGAGCGAGCAATCGCGGGAGCGCTGGGGTTGGTTCGCGGCTTCGTCCGCTTGGTTCGCTGCGTTTCTCCCCCGCGGGAGGATCGCTTCCGCCTCTCCCCTCTCCCCGTCCGCCTCCAGTAGCAACTCCCTCAAAGGCCGCGTGCGCGTGTGCTCGCCACGTGCCAGCGTGAGCCAGGCTGGCGCGCACCGGTCCGACGTGGCGTGGCAGGCTGTGCCGAACCTGGACCCGCAGCTCGGCGCGGTGTGGGAGGATCCCGAGGCGGGGGCTGTGGGAGGGGAAGGTATGGAGGGGACGTGGCAGGGGAGAGTGGAAGTAGTAGAAGTGGTTGAAATAGAAGACCTATTAGAAGGGGAAGAGGACGAGAAGGGGGAGTCGGAGGAGTGGGAGGCGGGGGAGGAAGGCGAGGAGAGGGAGGAGAGGGAGGAGGAAGAGGAGCCATCTTTCCTTATGTCCCCGTGCCACACGCCCGATCTCTCCCTCCTCCGTGCAACCTCACCTCCTCCTGCTACTGCTACTGCTGATTCACCAGCCCCGGCTGCCGCTACCACTGCCGCTGCCGCTGCCGCTGCTGCTGCTGCTGCTGCTGCTGCTGCTGCTGCTGCTGCTGCTGGTCGCAAGGGCGGCAGCAGCATCAGCAGTGGGAGGTTCGGTTTCGGCTCCTTTTCAGCAGGAAGGTCCGCACGAAAGCAGGAAAGAGGAACGGGAGGAGCGACGGGAGGGGGCGCAGAGGAGGGTCACACGGCGTCACAGCAACAGGGTGCAGCAGCAGCATCAGCAGCAGCAGGAGGAGGAAATGGCGGGTGGATGGTGGGAGCGCACGCGGCGATTGCGGGGGTTGCTGCGGCGGCGTGGGCGACTGTGGGCCGGCTTAGCTTGCCGTCGAGCCGCGTGGCTGACGCTAGTGCGAGCCGCGGCGGGGAAAGCGCAGGAGGAGGAGGAGGAGGAGGAGGAGGAGTGGGTGGTGGTGGTGGTGGTGGTGGTGGTGGTGGTGGCTGTGAGGGTGAGATGGGTGTAGTGAGAGCGGATGAGGTGAGTGGGGTGGGTGAGGCGTCGAAAGAGGAATTGGAGCGGTTGACTGCGGTGGATGAGGGGATGGATGAAGGGATGGGAGAGGCAACGGCGGACGGAGGAATGAAGGAAAGGGGGACGAATGTAGCAACAGCCTCTGCTGCTGCAGCTGCGGTTGCCGCTGCGGGTGCTGCGGGTGCTGCTGCTGGTGGTCGTGCTACTGCTGCTAATCCTAGTGCAGAGGCGAAGGAGGCTAGCGCGGAGACAGCGGTGAAAGCGGAGAGAGCGGAGGGTAATGGCGGCGTGGTGCATTCAGCGGGTGGGTGGCCTGGCTTTGGCTTTTGGTGGCGCTCACGTGCGAATACGAAGGGGGGTGAGAAGGGGAGGGCGGAGGAGGAGGATTACGATGAGCATGAAAAGGAAAGAGAAGAAACGAGTGAAGACAAGCAGAGCAATGACTGCGAGGGAGTGGAATCTAGCGTAAAAGAGAGTGACGAATTTAATGGGGCAAGGGCAAAGAGCGAGTGCTATTATAATGAGGACAATGAGGAAAGCAAGCATGAAGGCGATGCGGCGGCCAACACGGCGAACGCAGGAAGAGACGGCAGCATTCCTTGTGCTGGTGCAGCTGCTGCGACAGGCGAACTTCGCCAACAGGAGGTTACCAGAGCCGTGGCGAAATGGGCGGGCGTTCGCGAAATGAGTCTCAAGGAGGTGCTGGCGATGACGGACAACTTCGCACAAGCTCGCATTCTCCACGAGAGGCGCTCTGTCGCCGTCTACCGAGCCTGCTGCCCAGCCTCGGGGCAGGTCTGGGCTGTGAAGCGCGCCAAGCTCTCCCTCCTCTCCCCTTCCCCAACCTCCCCTGGAGGCTCGGGAAGCGGGCGGTCGTCTGACGGGGATGAGGAGAGGGAAGGGGAGAGGGGCAGGGAAGGAGCAGGGGAGAAGGGAGCAGACGCTCTAGCCGCTGCAGCAGCAGCAGCAGCAGGAGGAGGAAGGGGAGGAGGAGCAGCAATAGCAGTGGCGGCATCGCCAGAGGCAGTGGTGTCGATGACGGCTGAGGCGTTCGCGGAAGCCGCCATGGCGCTGGGGCGCATGGCGCACCCGCGCCTTGCGCGCGTGGTGGCGTTCTGCCGCGAATGCGCGGAGCGGATACTCGTGCTGGAGATGGCGGAAGGAGAAGCGCTCTCCGCGGCGCTCCACTGCGCCGACCCTGCTGGTATTCCCCCTCCGCTGCCGCTTGCAGTTGAACCGGCAGCTGCGCGTGGAGTTGCGCGGGGAGTAGCGCGCGCAGCAGTGCGCGCAGCAGCGCGCGCAGCGCCCCTATCGCTCCCCCAGCGCCTGCAGGTAGCGGCGGACGTGGCGAGCGCGCTGCAGCACCTGCACGCGCAACTGCAGGCGCACGAGCCCCCCAGGCGCAAAGAGCGCCTGTATTCCCGCCTGCTGCTTCTGCCCCCCCGCGCCCACGGCGCAGTGTCCGCGGAAAACGTGATCGTGGACGGGGAGGGGCGCGCGCGGGTGATCGGGGGTGAGCACCTGCGCGCGTTGCTGGTGCAGTCGGTGGGGGGTGGGGCATGCGCGGTGAGGGAAGGGGAAGACTGGGGAAGGCGGGAGTTGGAATGGGGGGGAGAGGAGGAAGAGGAGGAGAAAGCACAGGATAATCATCATCAGCATCATCAGAACCAGCACCAGCAGGGGCAGCAGCAGCAGCAGCAGCAGCAGCAGCAGCAGCAGCTACGACAGCAGAGAGACAGGGAGCGGGGAAGGAAAGAGCGCAAAGTTGTATTTGACACGTCCAGTGACAGCGCAGCGTACACTGACACGTGGCAGCAGCAGCTGCAGCGCGCGTCCCTGTCCCCGTGCCTGGAGCCCCACGTGGCTGCCACGGTGGCAGGTGACGTGTTCAGCGTGGGCGTGTTGCTGCTAGAGCTCGTGACGGGTAGGCGACCCGTTGTGAGAGGGCAGAGAGACCTGCACCTCGCTGCTCTCGCTGCTGCTGGTGGTGGTGGTTCTGCTGCTACTGGGGGTGCAGGAGGAGCGAGGGAGGCTGGGGAAGCAAGGGGAGCAGGGGGGATAGGGGGGCGGCACGCTGAGGAGGGGAGTGAGGGAGTGAGTGAGGAAGGGAGTGAGGGAGAGAGTGAGGAGGAGGAGACAGGCAGCAAGCTGTCCCTCTGGTCCCTTCCCTTGGACAAATCACCCATCGCCCACCCCTCCTCTCCCACACACCAACCCACACCCACGCCCATGCCCCTTCCCCCACCAACCTTCCACTGCTCCTCCCCCACTTCTCCCCCTCACCATCAGCGCCATTCCCCGCTCCATATAGTCACATGGGTGCGGATGCTTCTAGAGGGAGGGGATCCGCGTGTGATTGTAGACCCGGCGTTGGGCCTCTGGGCTGAACCGGAGATCAGCGGCAGTGGCCGGGTGGTGTGTAGGGAGGAGAGCGAGGTGAGTGGGTTGGTGTCCTGTGCTAGTACAAGCACCGTCACGACTGCTGTTTCTGGTGCTGCTGGCGCCGGCACAGATTCCACCTTCACCAGAAGCACCCTGGAAGAAGGGGAGGAGGGCGAGTCCTCAGCAACCACGGTCAGCTCATACTCAGGGGTTACTCAGAGCAGCAGACGCAGCAGCGCAGGCTCCGCTGCTGCAAGCAAGCTCTTTGCGTGGTCCTGGAAGTCTCCAGTGGTGACAGGGAAGTCTGGAAGGGAACCAGCAGCAGCAGCAGCAGCCAGAACGGGAGCAGCAGCAGGAGCAGCAGAGGGAGGAGTGAAGGAGGGGGCAGCAGCGGGAGCAGCGAAGCAGGGGGCAGCAGCGGGATTGGTGAGTGCGGCGGTGGAAGCAGCGTGTGTGGCAGCGGTGAGTGGAGTGGTGGAGCTGGCACTGCGCTGTGTGCTGCCTGCTCCCCCCGCACGCCCCTCCATGGCGCAGGTGGCCACGGCTGTGGAGATGCTCCGGCTGGATCTGCAGGGAGAGCTCGTTGCTCTGGGTGCTGCTGGTGCTTCTGCTTCTGCTTGTGCTGCTGGTAATGGTGGTGCGGAAGGGGGCAAGGCTGGCACGGAGGAAGCAGCAGTTGACCCGTCCATGGCCCAGGTGGCCACAGCATTGGGGATGTTGCGGCTGGACTTACACGGAGAGCTTGTTGCTGCTGGTGCTCTTGCTGGTGCTGGTGCTGCTGCTGCTGGTGCCGCAGCTGGTGGTGCAGCTGCAGCGGAAGGGGATGTGCGTGGTGATGAGGTCACTTTTGAGCTCTCTTTCAAGCAGCGCAGCCCTGGGGTTGATTCCCCGCTGCCTGTTGCCGGTTCTGCCATGCCAAAGCTACACCTGGATTCAGAGGACGAGGAAGAAGAGGAGGAGGAAAGCGAGGAGGAGGGGGACGGGGATGGTGAGGGGGGTGAGAATGGGTCGGTTCGGAGTGATTCGTACGAGTGTGAGAACAGCCAGAGTCAGAGCCAGAGCCAGAGCTTGAGTGCAGCAACAGCATCAGTAACGCTGGCTGTTGTGAGCGAGAGCATGAGCGGGGAGTACGGTAGTGGGGCTGCTTATGGCGAGGATGAGGCCACGAGTGGGAAGAGGAGGGGCTGGTTTAGTGCTCGGGCGGACTGGGAGGGGGAAGTGACGTCTGGGGAGATAGAGGAGGAGGATGATGGGGAGGAGGTGAGGAGGAGGTGAGAGAGGTGAGAGACTTGCGTTGCGAAGGGGGTAGATGGCATAAGATGAGCCTAGTTTAGACGGGATGGGTGGGTTGGGGGTGTGTAGAGGGGATGAAGTGTGTGGGGGGGGGGGGGATTAGGGCGTGTTGAGGGGGACGGGGTCAGGTTACAGGAAAGGACTAGGGGGGTGTGGTAGGTATAATCGCTTAATTAACACGCAGTTGTATTGTATGGTTTGGGTGTTGTGCTGAAACATCAACATATATGGGTTACTCAATCACCACAGGTACTGCTGATTCACCTTACCTCACCAGATCAGGGCATCTCTTGTTATGCAAGCAGTGGTGGTGGTGCGCTGGCATCTGACCCGAGGAACACAGCACGTGCATGTAAATACCACACGAGGAGTCCTCATCGAGGACCAGATGATAGCACCTGGTACTTTTCATTCATATCCTGGGTGAGCTGTACGGCACTGTGCTAGAAGGAAGAGAATGAAATTTTCATCCTCACATTCATTGTTGTGATAGCATGGTTGCCAACAGAAACGGTATGGTTTTACAAGCCGAGGTGCGTTAGCCAGGGCGGACTACGGACTCAACTAAACCCAACTTAACCGCGCTCAAGGCAGCTCAGGGCAGGGCACCTGGATAGCTCATCCGCTCATTCGTAGCTCGTCCGCTCATTCGTAGCTCGTCCGCTCATTCGTAGCTCGTCCGCTCATTCGTAGCTCGTCCGCTCATTCGTAGCTCGTCCGCTCATTCACAGCTCATTCGTTCATTAATTATTCGCAGATTCAAATGCCGGGTGAGATGGCACGTGCAGGCACATCCTTCTCCTGCTGCTGTGCCAACGGTCCAAGGGCACGGGATAGAAACCCCAGCACGGGGCTGCTGCTGCTGCTGCTGCCACGGGCACGGGGCTTCATGCGAAGGCCAGTGGTGGTGGCGGTGATGCCGATGCCGTTGCGCGTACGCTCCACCGCATCAAGGAAATGGTCCAGACTCACACGTGCCTCGCCTGCACGCAATGTGGCAAGGAGGTGGATGCGGGGGGGGGGGGGGACGTAGGGGGAACAGGCACAGGGTTTGATGCGAAAGCCAGAACTGCTGCTGGTGATGTCGATGCCGTTGCAAGTGCGCTCCACTGCATCGGGACGACGGTCCAGACTCACCCGTGCCTCGCCTGCACGCACGCTAATACGCAAGCAAACAAGCAAAGGGGTGACTTTTGAGGCGCCTCAAAAGGTGCGCGTGCGCTCTGCCGCATCAAGGAAATGGTCCAGACTCACCCGTGCCTCGCCTGCACGTACACAGGCACACAGGTGACCAAGACAACTGGCAGACAAACCAGCACGCAAGCAAACAGACGAGGCACGCAGGTGAATGTGGATGCATGGCACGTGAGTAGACAGACTTAAGTTAGAAGCGGGTGGAACAACGATGATCAAGGAATCAAGATACCAAGCCAACAAGGCATGGCACCGGAGGGAAATATCAGCAGAACAAAAGTAATCCATTCATCCATCCATCTCCCTCACCACTCCGGGCAGCGGGCAAAGCTGCCTCACTCACCACATTCCCCAAACAGGCACACAAGTGAGCACGCAGGGAAGTAAGCAGGCAAGCAGGCTTGCAAGAAAGACAACCACGCAATGATGGAACAAGGCACCAAGGGAAACTTCAGCTCGCTCACCACTCCTGGCAGCAAGCCATGCCGCTTCATTCACCACATTCTCCAGATCCGCCCCTGAAAACCCCTCTGAATACCTCGCCACCACTGTCCTCATCCCCTCCTCTTCTTCCTCCTCCCCCAGCACATCCCACACACTTCCAACTCTTCCAATGCCGCCTCTACCTCCCATCACACTCCCTCCCACGCTTCCCCCCCCTCGCCCCTCCCCCGCACCGCTCCTCCTCCCCTTCATCCGCTCCTGCATCCTCCGCATGTGCACTCTCAGAATATCCCTCCGCCCATCCACATCCGGCAGAGGCACCATCACCCTTCTCGAAATCCTCCCCGAGCGAGTCAGCGCCGGGTCAAGCGTGTCAAGCCGGTTAGTCGCAGCCAGCAGCAGCACCCCATCATCAGGCGAATCAAACCCATCGAGCTCCGTCAACAGCTGGTTGAGAGTCTGGTCCCGCTCGTCGTTGCTGCTCGCGCCACGCCGCGCCCCCACCGCGTCTATCTCATCTATGAAAACTATCGCCGGAGCGGCCTTCCTCGCCTCTCGGAACAGCTCCCGTACGCGGGCCGCGCCTCTCCCAACAAACATCTCCACGAATTCACTCGCAGACGCAGCGAAGAACGGCACGTCTGCTTCTGCTGCCACCACGCGAGCTAGCAGCGTTTTACCCGTGCCAGGGGGACCGATGAGGAGAACGCCCTTGGGGATATGTGCGCCCATGGCAGCAAACGCGCCAGCTCCTTTAATCCCCTGGACTAACTCCATGAGCTCTCGCTTCGCCTCGTCCACCCCAGCTACATCTTCAAATCTCACCTCTCCTGCAGCCCCCCTCCCTCCTCCTGCTCCTCTCTTTCCCCCTTTCCCTCCGCCCTTCCCCCCACCCGCCCCCCGCCCCCCTCCCCCCCGGCGCCATCCGCCGTCCTTCCCCCCATTCAGCTGCTTCATCATGAGGTAAATCAGCGGTGCAACGGGTATCCAAACGGTTAGAGCGGTTAAGAAAACGGTGCGGAGGGTTTGGGAGGCTGGGACGGGGACGGAGGCGACGCGCACGTTGTGAGTGATGAGGAGAGGGAGGAGGAAGGACTCGTCGTTGTGTATGCGGCGGGAGACGTAGGCGAAGGGGGGATCGGCTGGGAGGCGCACGAGGGAGGACCAGGGCGGGCCGAGGGAGACGAGGAAGGAGCGCCAGGAGGCATGGGTGGGGGAGGGAGGGAGGAGAGACGGGGAGGTGAGCGTAAGAGCAGGAGCAGGAGCAAGAGCAGGGGTGGCAACATCGGCAGAGCCGGTAGCAGTAGGTGCATTGGTAACAGTAGTTCTACTGCCAGCCTCCCCTGGTGCCACCGCTGCTGCTGCTGGTGCTGCTGCTGGGGCTGCTGCTGCTTCCAGCTTGTCAGCGAGTCGATCAGATACCGCAGCAGATGTGGTGGCGGTGACACCAGAGGCAGATGCATCAGCATCAGCAGAATCAGCAGCAGCAGAGGCCACGTCAGCAGCAGAGCCCACGTCAGCATCAGAGACCACATCAGCAGCGCTCCTACTATGCACGTTGAACCAGATGCGATTCGAGCTCTCCTCCATAGCCGCGTTCTTAACTCTCCCCGCTTTCACCGCTGCCACCATGTCAGAATACGCGACGGGCCTCGCCGCCCGCACTCCCGGATTCCTCATCTGCCACGTGGCACCCAGCACGAGCGCCAGCGCGATCAGCGGCCAGCGCAGCCAATAGGAGACCGCGAGCAGCACGCCCAGGGCCTGGCGCAAGGTGAGCGCGCGCAGGGCGCGGCGCGCGAGGCGGAAGCGCACGCGGAGGAGGCGGAGGGGGAACAGAAACGGGCGGCGGCGGAGAGGGAGCGCGATTGTAGACGGTTTCGACGCTGTAGACGAGCTAGCTGCTGAAGTCTTGTGAACAGTCCTAGATTGTAGGAGAGCTAGCTGTTGAGACCGAGAGTCACTGGAGGTTGGGCCAGGACGGGAAGTAAGATGATTAATTTTAGGATTCGATTCTCTACGTCCGTTGTCTCGTCCACCCCCCGTTACAGTCAACGCGCCAGCGCCAGCACCACCACCCACCGCCGCCGCCGCTGCTGCATCCGCTCGCGCGATCGCTTTGTCCGCCAGAGCGGCCTCTTGCGCCGGGCCCGTGCCCAGTAACGCGTCAGCTTCTAACGAGACGGAGCCTGCCGAGCCTCCTGCCGAGCCTGCCGGAACCGCGGAGGCCCGCCAATGCGACGAGGCGGCACGGAAAGAGGGGCGCAGCCGTGAGGAAGCGCAGGAGGACGAGGCGCCGGAGGAGGCGGCAGAAGAGGCGGCGGGAGAGGCGGAGGAGGGCGGGAAGGCGGAGGGCGCGGCCGAGCGGAGCGGGAGAGAGTGAAGAGTGGGATGATCGACGGATCGCAGCCAGAAGGAAGAGTGCTGCCTCCACGGCCCCTGCACTCGCCGCTTCGCCGATGCAAGCCCCTGCCCATCCTCGGTAAACGCGCCACGAGAGCTTGCGGCCGTCTGTAGCCCTCGCGGTGGTAGGCCCTCCGTTGGTAACCCCCCCTCGGGGTTGTGCAATCCGGCAAAGCGGGATCGACGGGGAGCGCCCGATGCACGGATCGCGCGATCCTCGAGATTAACCGCGTCGCGGCTGCCGTCCGCCGTCTCGTGCCGCGCCTCCTCGCAGGCCACGCGCAAACTCCTGCAAGCCTGCGGTCTCACGTGCCGCGGTAAAGCGGGCCGAGCGAGAGCATGGACCTGCGCTTGAGAGTGAAAACCAACCCGAATTGGAGCATGAGCGAGAGGCTGGTACAGCGGGAAGAGCGTTATTGACGGCGAAATTGCGGACGCTGTTAATGCTGTTGGTCTAGTTAATCTTGTAGGCGTCCGCTGCGCGTCAGATGTAGCCAGCCTCTCGCGGCTGCACAAGAACAGGTTCGTCGGCGCTGCCGCTACGGCCATCGCTGCTGCTACTGTCGCTGCGGCGGCGGGTGCGGCGGGTGCGACAGGTTGCGAGGATCGCTATCGCAGCAGGTCGGGACAGCGCGGGAGACTCGGCGGAACCACAGCCAGCGACGCTTTTAAGCGGCTAAGCGTGCATCGACGCGCTGCGATCCGCGCGGGAGATGGAGTGAGAATCTCCACAGTGCTGGTGGTGGTGACTGGACTACAAACCTTGATTTTGCGGCTGCCCGCTAAGATGATAAGGCGCGGAGGTGCATGGCCGCCAGGTGTTGTACGCAGTATAGTCAATAGTGCTTAAAACGGACTCAGCAGCTATCTGTTTGCAAGAACAATAGACACTACACATGTCGGATTTGTTTGCCAACGCAGTGGTTTTTTCCCCAGCCACCTAGGGTATGTGAGCTTTCCTGGTCGGTTTACATTATAGACCGATGTGGGTTGTGATCTTACCGCATATCCAGTCAAGTCCAGAGTACCTAATTGTGCAGAAGATGTGTTAAATAAACCGATTACCATATTTTGAGGATGCTTGAAACTCATTATCGTGATCATTCTGTTCATAATAAATTTCATGTACGTGTATTTTATTTTTAATATAGTGATTTTATAGTTCAGTATTTTTCTCAAAGGATTCATGTTCTTCCCATGCTGCCTTGATATATTTTGAAGGTAAAATCTTCATCAGTGTATAGCAGAACTGTGGAAGTGTCGGTTGCATCCGTAACATTACTGCTATTTCTTTGTCGCGCGTTCGCCACCCTGACGCATCCGCGGATTTGCCTATTGACGACCGATTGCTTTGTCAGCCTGCCCGCTGATCGTGAGACTCCTCCTAGTCTACCACATTTTCAAGCTTCGTTTTGTGTAGGCTCCACTTTCCTTGTGTAATGGAGGCTTCGGTCATGGAAGCTGAGTCAGCTGAATCGAACGACGCAGACCAAACGCATCGCTCTTCCTCTCCCAGTTCTAGGCGTCCGCGAAGAAGATCCCTTAGTATTGATGAGGAACTACTTCACAACATGCGGCTGTGGAGGAATTCGCCGAAGCTCGGAGGAGAAGGCTCAAGCCAAAGTGGAACAAATGTGATTCACAGCGACGAAACCAGACACAAAAGCGGACGATATGACGATTTATTTGGACGCATATCTCTGGAAGAAGGCACGACCCCTTCGGATTGGTAATGATCATTCTGTGAAGCTCAAACTTGACCTTGAAAACACTGAACCTAAACACGAACGCTGCAGGTTATATGATCCATTCAACAATCAAGAGCTTCGCTCTTCGAGCTCTACGAGTCGAGGATTTGGAGGGTCCCCTTCAGTGGTCAGAAGGCTAAGCATGACTAAAAAGGCAAGCATTCGGACTTCCGCCGTTGCAGTCGTCAGAATACAGTGGAAATATCATGCGCCTTATGTCTCTTCCTTTCATTTATTTGTCAGGAAGAGACGACAACTGTGAACAACGATGAATCAGCGTCCAGCAACATTACAATCGAGTCGTCCATACCTTCGATTCGAGACCGGAAGCGAGATAAGGATGTTGTTGTTGAGCCTGGACGCATTTTGGCTGGTCAAACCTCCATGTTGTCACGACCGCGTGCTCGATCTGTTGGTCTACGTAAAGGGTCATCTCCAGATCCCCCAGCTCTGTCTCCTGGCGATTCAACACCAGGCTCCAAGCCATCCGCCATTCCGAAGCCTCCAAAAAACTTGCGGACCAGGGTTGTACAACCTGGTGTATCCCTGATTCCTTCGCTGTCGCGAATTCCCCGATTGACTCGACGAGATTTGCCTACGGCTTCTCGAGAGGGTCCGGTTCGGGAGGAAAAGAAATCAAGTGCATCAAAAGCTTCATCAGCGGAGGCTACGCAGAGAAGTTACAAATATCTGCCGGGGAGGTCAGTGCAGCCTTCAACTTCCAGCGCGATCTATGGCGATGAGTCGAGGTCCCATCAAAGGACGTCCGAACCAAGATCTACGGTTACATTGTTACGAGAAATCCAACCTTTCTCGACTGATCCAGCTTCGTGCCCTCCTATGACACGTCAGAGGCCGTCAAAGTCATCACCACCTGATTTAAATCGCCAGGTTTCAACGATCATGCACATTCGCCAACCTGTACGTTGACCACTCGATAATTATGTTGTATTGTGCAACGATTCTTGATAATGAATCTGATTCCTCCTTTTCTTCTTATTTTGAAGGAGAAGTTTAGCAACGATCATCCTACAACAACGCCAGATATTATCAGCGACAACCAACGAACAGCATCGTCTGAGGGGCTTCATAACTCATACATTCCAACCAGTCCTCCAGCACTGCATAGTAACGATTTGTTTTCTGAATATGCTGAAGACTATGCATCCATGGGGGAAGATTCGGCGTCAACCTGGCTATTTTCACCATCCCTTAGCGCTTTGCCTTCTCCTGAGACGTCACCTTCTCGCACGCCTCATTCCTGTTATGACGATCAGAGTTCGTTTTTGGAGACCAACATGTGGAGCAGCATACCCACCTCGCATACACCAAGGGGAGCAGAACCAGAAAATTTGATCGAACAGGAATGCCTTCCACTGGATGCAGACCGTCTGCCATCTGGAGACAGGGTGCTCAGGAAGCCTGCTGATGGTAAGGACGCATTGGTTCTTTGTGAAAATGACTACCACTAATATACCTTATCTTATCCTGCAGATCAATCTGGTATTCCTGATGCCATTGAGGCTGATGCTGAGGCTGAGCATAAGGCGGGTATACAATCTGCTCCATTGGGAAAGATGTTATCGTGTGATGTGTACAATACACGTCAATCTGAAGAGCTGGTTGCATCAGAGTTGAGACATATCGTTTTGCCTTCACGAGACCGTTCAAGCTTCAGAAGAACCAGAGGTAGCAGCTGCAGTGCATGGTCAATTGGTGAGCTGACAGATGAGGAGAGGTTGCTGCTTCAACTCATGGCATTGCAGAGGCGCAGCAGCGAGTTTGATACGAAAATGGCCAACGTGAAGGACCAAAGTGGACAAGCAGAGCACAGTGGGAATAGAGGGAGTCACTCTGTTTCCTTATCCCAAGCTGAGTACGAAATAGATAAGGCACCACAAAGCGAAGGTATTGTTTCATTGTATTCGTATATCCCATCCTGTACTTGTGCAACTTCACAGCTGTTCTCACCAAGCTTTTCATGGCAGATGGTCTTCATCATTTTGACAATACAACTCAACGGACAACTATCGCAGACTCACTAGATCCTTCATCCACTCCTCCACCACCTCCCCCTCTTCCTTCCTTATCTCCTCCTCCTCCTCCTCCTCCTCCTCCTCCTCCTCCTCCTCCTCCTCCTCCTCCTCCTCCTCCTCCTCCTCCTTTTTGTACTCCTCCTCCTACTCCTCCTCCGCCTACTTCTCCACCTCCTCCTTTGCCTACTACTTCTCCTCCTCTCCCACCTCCTCCCCCTCTTTGTACTCCTCCTCCTCCTCCTCCTCCTCCTCCTCCTCCTCCTCCTCCTCCTCTTTGTACTCCTCCTCCTACCCCTCCTCCGCCTACTTCTCCACCTCCTCCGTTGCCTACTACTTCTCCTCCTCTCCCCCCTCCTCCCCCTCTTTGTACTCCTCCTCCTCCTCCTCCTCCTCCTCCTCCTCCTCCTCCTCCTCCTCCTCCTCCTCCTCCTCCTCCTCCTCCTCCTCCTCCTCCTCCTCCTCCTCCTCCTCCTCCTCCTCCTCCTCCTCCTCCTCCTCCTCCTCAACCTCTTCAATCTCTTCCTTTTCAGCATCGCTTCTCCTCACTTATACCAACTTTCCCACCATCAGCCCAAATGGAGGTTCCAGTTTCATCATCCTTGCAGCCCCCACTCTTTCTTCTTGCTGTCAATGATTCTCTTCCCCAGGGACACCATGAAAATGAGTCAGATAATTTGTTGCAACATCAGGGGACCAACGAAAATGATGACGCCAAGACGACTCCGCATAGCACTCTTTCTCCCTTGTTGTGTGACGCGTATTACAAGCTGTCCGGTGAGCTGACATGCCTTTCTCCTTCAAGATTGGCAACTATTCCAGAAGAAGAAAGTCTGGACAATTTGGAGGTTCTTGGTGTGCAAAGCACAGCTCCACAAGGCAGTGATTATTCAGAGAACATTCAGTCAGGCGACAAACAACCCTCTGATGACTCGCTGGCTGATGAAGATGGCCAGCTGCATCTGGTGAGTGTGGGAGCGCAGAAATAATATGAAAATTGTGGGCTGGAAGACTGCTGCTGACAGTTGACATTCTGCCTGCACAGGTGTCAGCTGGTGGTGTCAGAAGAAGTGAGACTGGGGAACTCCATGAGGTGAGCTTGAGGCTTGGGTGCTGCTTCCATGTTTCTGCTACGTATTTACATGACACTCCAATGTTCAGACTTTCCAGCCAACATCGCTTTCCACATTATTTGATGCTGCATCAGACTGCACAACAGGTGGAGTTTGATTCGCATGGCATGTATGTTCCTGAGTGTGTAAGGGTATATGTGTTAATCCCTTCATCATGGTGCAGGTGATAAGATCACTTGTGATTCTCCTTTGCGGCTTGCAACAGTCCACGAAGCAGAGTTCTCAAATCAAAATGAAGGTGCATGTCTAACTGACATGGTACTCAATGATGTCGATGCACCCAAAACCCCCTCCATGGATGAAAAAGGCCCTGCTGATGGCTTGCTAGCAAGTCAAGCTGAAGATTTATATGAGGCAAGCTTCACATTTGTACCATTAATTTCAGGTTTGAGACTGATGACCTGTATGAATTTTTCTGACACTCCATTCCCTCCTTTTGCAGACTTATGCAGATCCGTTGCGAACCCGTGAAAGCAAGGATGTTCACGAGGTGAGCTTAGCCTGTGCTCTCTGGTTCTTCTTTTCCCTCACTCCCTATATTTCATGTTCATCTCTCACAGAATTCCACTGATGATATGCTAACTCGTCCAACTGAGACCCGGGATCTGGTGAGGTTGATATAGTGTTTTCTTCATCTCCTGCTGCTTTTTTTTCTGTTGCATTTGCTGAGATCGTATGTTACACAGAGCGTAAGTGCTGTGTTACAACATGAATGTGACGACCTTTATCAAGTGAGCAATATATATCACTGGCCTTCTGCTTCTGCTGCTGGTTCACTTCAGTATTTGACACATGAACATTTTTCTTCCAGCAGCCAGCATTTGCGGTTACGGCATGCCAAGCATTTGATGCAGAAGCAGACGGCATAGAAGGTATGCTTCATGTGTATTTGCAACCACGAGAATGCAATCGTAACAACGCAATTCCTAGTATTGCTTGCTTATCTTAAACTCCCCACACAGAGAACGGGCAACTACATTCTCCTGCACATGCGATCGGGGGCTCAGATGCAGAGCTGTTTCCATCACTGTCAAAAACGTCAGACATCGTGAAGCCATTTGAGGAGTCTACTGAAAGCGATACAGCTTTTCCTGGTGAACCATCCTCCAGACAAAACGTTGACTTGCATGGAGTGAATGTAAGGACGACGATGTGACATCACTCTCCTGTCTTGCAGAATCCGGGCAGCTCATTGAGTCTCTACCGCAGAATTCCACAGCGAAGCTGACGACGGGGGATCACAATATCGATGTGGTAAGACCATATTTTCTCCTCAGTCCAGTAATTTCAACAAAACCTTACTACGTTTTTCTTTTCTACACAGCTGAAAAAACCCCTTGGTGATCAACAGCTTTGTAAGCCAGGTATGTGTCACGTTCACACCATGCCAACTTTTCCTGAATGATTTGGCTGATCCTGGTTGATCAACATCAATGTTGATGCAGCTGGAGAGCCAATGCAGCTCGCCATGTCAATGATGGCAACTGGTTCAGAACCAGAATGCCTGGATTCAAGTGTTTCTCCGTGGGTTCAGTACACAACCAGCAAGGATATGGAACCAAGTGGGCTGGTTTTGGGCTACGATGCCCGTACAGAAAAATCGTTGACCAACGAAGCTGATGGTCCGGATAAGGTATGAATCACTAGAATGCATAAGGTGGCTCCTATTTCTGCTTGTTTCAGCAGGAGACTTTTACTAACCCTTTGATTTCTCTGCACAGCCAAAGTCAGCAGTCATGGCTGACCATTTGATTGGCACCAATGAAAACGTCATACAAGGTTTGTCTCTCTGAATTGCATTTGAGGTTTGTTGTACATTTTGGTCGTCTTATTCAAAGCGGCGCAGAAAATGCAAATCTGTCCGAGACTTCTGAGGAAACCGATAGCATTCTTGAAGGTGAGCCCGACAAGTTTGCTCCATTTCATCAGGTTTGGACAGCTGGCTTACTTTAAACATGGCAGTTCGTGGCACCAAACGAAGTGACTGTTTGGGTTTGGAGGGGCATCCTCTGGATGAGCCGAACGAGAGCACTTGTGGAGACGTTTATTCTAAGCGGTTGAAGACCACTGTGATCTCAAGAAACAATGCCCGTGGAGGTTCCCTTCAGCCTACTTGCCGCATGTCACTTGATGAGTGGCTAGGATCAGGATCTCGTTCAGATATTAAGGAACTTGTGGAGGGCCAGCATCTGGAGCAGCAAATTGTGCCCCTCGCTGGGAAATCGGATACCGATCAAGATAAACTCATTGGTGTTCCCATATCCCCATATGCTGAGTCAGCATCTGCAGGTAAGCTGCATAATGGCCTTTTGCTGTTGGAAAATCTGCTTACTTATGTATCTTCTCCATGGTGCAGGTTTATGTGTATCTGGGCCTCAAACTGTGAACAGCAATGATAGCTCATCTCAGATTCAGGTGCCCTTGAAGCCGGATGGTACAAACGTGGAAGAAATCCGTGTGGAGGCCCTTGAATCACCATCTATGCCAGCAATGGTGGCATCAGCAGTGCCCCTGGACTTGCCATGCCACAAATCAGCTACTACACAGTTGCCGGTGGACGGTAAGAGGAGCATTTTAGAATGCTGCGTCATGTTGAGCATATCAATCACGTATGCAAGAAGTCAGAATCATGTCACGTAACAACGCTATCGCTTTAACTTCTTATTTGGTTATGACTAATACGCTTGTGCTAACCTCAAGTTCCACTCCTACCAGGGGAGGGAGCGGCAAACGACCTGCCTGCTCAGATGTGCAACCAACCAATTTCGATGCCCCTCTCCGGTGAAGCTGTCAGATGCCTTCATTCAGAAGATGTTCCTGTTGGACCACATGCAGAGATCCTGACTGGGGCAGGCTCAACACTCACAAAAGAGATTGTGGTCGAAAATGTTGCTGGAATTTCCATCACTGCTATCGAAAACGAGCAAGATGGATTGCAGAAGCCGACAAACTCAGGGGAATCAAGTAGTGGCCCACTCCATCAGGGTATTGTCGACTCTACAAGTGAGGGAGCCAAAAAAGGGAGAAAGGGCAAAGGCACTCGTGCACTACAGAGGCCTGAGAGAAACTCGGCTGGATCGAAGACATGCGGGTGCAGCATCATGTAGGTTTGAGACGGTACATACCGCGTGGAACTTTTTTTGCCTGCTCATAGTGATTACACTGTCGGACATCGACAGTCGTGAAGTGGTGAGTTTTGTGGCCAAGTACTGTCTGGAAACCACTTTCTCTTCTTCTTTTTCGTATAAGATAGCATTGAGGGTAGCTGTGCAAAATTTGACTGCCCCAGGAAGCTCTCAAAAGGAAATAACACACAATTGCCCTCTCAAGTCCCTGTGCATTCATACCTACTTGTTTTGTATGGTTTGATTTTGCCTAGGAGTACACATCAAAGATTGGTGGTGTACATAGGTTCAGAAACTTCAGGGGTGCGCAGCGAGTGTCAGGAATGCTGGGCCCATTTGGCGGAGCTTTCCCCGCAAACCCCAAATTGCGCAACTTTAAGCCTAGCCGTTGGAGCAAGTGTCTCTGAACTTTGACGAACTCGCGCCCCACTCTCCGGAAAGTCGGCGCAAATCCGCCTTTGTGTCAGACTTTCGGGGGTTGCGCTTCCGCATACTTGCGATCGATGACCTCTTTCCGCTTGGCGAATTCTGCTTGGGGGGCATTGTCACGAATGCAGCCATCATCGTCAGCTCGTTTGTAACAACCAGTTGCCACATTTTTTCACCGCGAGCGAGTTCAACTTTCGCCAACATATTTCGCTCATCGAATTTCCACCGCCCTGGTCCCGCCGTTGCCGTGTGCCCGAAAGCAATTCGGCAATCTCGAGGCTGGTTGGGAAGGCAGGCAGCACTTGGCACGGCACATTCCCCACCACACCACAAACTCGCCTCGTCTGTTCCTCAACGTGCTGCTTCTCACGCCCACCTCACTCAACATTCGCCATTCATTCTGCTCCTCACCTTTAGTTGCTCACCGCCAGATGCTCAGCGCTAGTTCCCACGAAACGCTTACGCTGCTGTTATGCTTTCGCTGGCGACCGATTTGTTTCTTGGGACGAGAAAACGTGGAGCTAGGAGAAGAGGTGTTGGCGGAGCGTCAGCAGGCAGATTCTACGTCGCCTCGAGCTGTTTTAGACCGTCGATTTCATCGCATCCTCCGTGGAAACTCGTTGATCGGGCGTCGCGAGAAAGGTGGCGTGGGATGTTGGTGCGAGGGGAGGCGAAGACGAGAGCGACGACGAGGTACGATGGGATCCGCGCCGTTGTGCTCTTGAACGTCGCTGCCTGCTCCTTCCCGCGCGCTTATCGTGCCTCCATTCGCACCCGCGCTTTTGATGAACCGAGTTCAGCTAGCGCTTCTCACGCTCGTAGATGCTGTTTCGCGTTTCTCCCTCCTGCAGGAGAGCGTTTGGCAGAATGGACGGCGGAATCGACGGCCGTTTGCGAGATCCGCGCGTCGTCGCACGGCGAAACCGTCGTCAGCGCGTCGTCGCACGGCGGAACCGTCGTCCGCCCGTCGTCGCACGGCGAAATCGTCGTCCGCACGTCGTCGCACAGCGAAATCGTCGTCCGCGCGTCGTCGCACGGCGTCGTCCACGCTACGTCGCACGGCGAATTCGTCGTCCGCGCGTCGTCGCACGGCGAAATGATCGTCCGCGCGTCGTCGCATGGCAAAATTGTGGTCCGCGATTCGTCGCATGGCGAAATTGTGGTCCGCGATTCGTGGCATGGCGAAATGGTGGTGCGGCACCAGCATGAGCTCTCGGTGCTTCTTCAACCGCCAGCTAATTGCCTTGTTCAGCCTTTGTACTCTGTTCAACCCTCGCACTCTGTTTCTTTTTGTGCTTTCACCATGCATCGCACTCCCTATTTCACTGCCCTTGTCACACCCATGAGACCTCCTTCCCCCAAGGTAGCAGGTATATTTCTTTTGGTACAGCCTCAGGTATTCGTTTGAGTTTATTTCAGCCGGTACGAGGTCTCTTGGGTGTGCCACTGCAGCAGTCCATTCATGCACACATCATTCTTGCACTTTCTGCACTCGTCGCTCTCTCTTCACTCCACTCATCTTTGCTTCTTTCCTCATTCCCCTCCCGACTCCTTTCCCCTTTCACTTCCCCATTCTCTCCTCTCCCTCCTCCCTTCCTCTTTCTGTCCCGATCTGCCCCCTCTCGTCCCAGCAGGTCGCTCACACGGGAGTGGGAGTGTTCCTGCTGCCCATGCTCCTTCAACTGCCTACGCCCATGCTCCTGCTGTCACACCACCAGCTAAGTGCTCTTTTCTCCTCCCATCCCTCGCGCTGCCTTGCTTTTCATGTCTTGCTTGCACCATGCATCCCACTCCCTTCTTTACTGCCCTATGTCACACTCAAGATATCTCCCTCCCCCAATGTAGCAGGTTCAAAACTTTGGTACAGCCTCAGGTATTTGCTTGTTTGTGGTTCAGCTGGTACGAGGTCTCTTGGGTGTGCCACTGCAGTAGTCCATCCATCCACGCTTCACTCTCGCACTTGCTCGCTCTCACTTCACTCACTTGCCTTCGCCTCTTTACTCATCACCCTCCCTTTCATCCTTATCACACCTCCGTCCTCGCTTCATCTCTCTGTCCCCAACTCGTCCCAGCAGGTCGCTCACACGGGAGTGGCAGTGGCGGGGGACATGGAGTGCACAGGCAGCAGCTGCTCTCCACCCGACCCACCCACAGCTAAGTACCCGCCCTGCCTCTTGCATTCATTTGTCGTTCCACTTCCGTCCTTGCTGCATCTCTGTCGCTTGTGCATTCAAACGTAAGCCACTGGTTGAGCCAAAGCTTCAAGCAACAGACCCCTTTTCTTGGGTAGATCCCCCCAGGTATTACAGGTATACACTCAGGTCTGCAGGTAAGCCTCCCAGATGTGTACCCCCCTTGGATCTGTGGCTTGTAGCTGAGGCTGCACCAGTGGCCCCCTTCTCTGCTCTCACCTACCATCCCACCCCACCCCACCCATGCACTCCTCTCACATTTCTACCCCTAGCCGCATACTCACTTCTCTTCAGTTCTCTCCTTTCCGTTGAGGGGAGGGGCGTGGGGGTCAACACCGCCGCTCCCTCGCGCCCCTCCCCTGTGGCCGTGCAGGTGGCAGTGACGGGAGGGAAGGGGGGCAGCACTCTACTCGGCTGGGATGGGATGGGAGAGTATCGGGATGGGGTCGTCTGGAACAAGGTGAGCCTCTTTTCCCTCGTGCATTCATGCTGCTGCTTGGTTTTCTCCCCATGCTCACTTTTCTTTCTTGCACTCTTCCCCCCTTCACGCTTCTCCCTGTTCTCAGTGTTGTCTCTTGATCCCCTGCCTCCCTTTATCTCCCCTCTCTCTCCCCTCACCCCCAGAGCATTGAAGGCTGTAGCAGCGCGGCAGCAGGGCAGCAGGGGGCACAGCGGGGCATCAGCGGAGGGGAGGGGAGGGGCAACGGCAGCAGCAGGGGAAGCAGAGTAGCAGACCGGCAGCAGCAGCAGAAGCAGCAGCAGTCGGGGCTGGGGGCCAGCACTCCACTCGGCTGGAATGGAATGGGATGGGAGAGTATCGGGATTGGGTCGTCTGGAACAAGGTGAGCCTCTTTCCCCTCATGCACTCATGCTGCTGCTTGTTCTTCTCCCCATGCTCACTTCCCGTTTTGCTCCCTTGCTTCCTTGTAGCTTCTGCCGACTCTTCTCCCCATTCTCACTGCTGTCCCTTGATCCCCTGCCTACCCCTGCCTTGCTCCCTCCCTCCCAGTACATTGAAGGCTGTGGCAGGGCAGCACGGGGGCAGCAGCAGGGCAGCAGCGGAGGGGAGGGGAGGGGCAGCGGCAGCAGCAGGGGAAGCAGAGTAGCAAACCGGGAGTGGCAGTGGCGGCTGACATGGAGTGCACAGGCAGCAGCTGCTCTCCACCCAACCCACCCACAGCTAAATACCCCGCCCTTCCTCTTCTCCCAACCCTCTTACTTTGTTGCTTTGCTTGTCATGCTTGCACCATGCATTACACTCCCTTTTTCACTGCTCTTTGTCACACCCATTAGACCTCCCTCCCCCAAGGTAGTAGGTATATTTTTTCTTGGTACAGCCTCAGGTATACGTTTTAATTTGGTTCAGCTGGTACGAGGTCTCTTGGGTGTGCCACTGCAGCAGTCCATTCATGCACGCATCATGCTTACGCTTGCTGCACTCTGCACTTTCACTTGTCTTGGCTTCTTTCCTCACTGCTCTCCCCACTCCTCTGCGCCCCCACTTTCCCGTTTTCTCCCCCTTCTCCTCCGTTTTCTCTCTCTGTCCTGACCTGCCCCCTCTCGTCCCAGCAGGTCGCTCATACGGGAGTGGCAGTGGCGGGGGACATGGAGTGCAACAGCAGCTGCTCTCCACCCAACCCACCCACAGCTAAGTATCCGCCCTCACTCTCCTCCCAATCTCTCTCGCGTTCGTTTGCTTTCCACGTTCATCCTTGCTGCATCTCGTGTTTTCTTGTCTCTTCAAATGCAAGCCTCTTGTTGAGCCAAAGCATCAAGCCACAGACCCCTTTTCTTGGGTAAATCCCCCCAGGTAACAGCAGGTATTCCCTCAGGTTAAGCCTCCCCAGGTGTGTACCCCCCTTGGATCTGTGGCTTGTAGCTGAGGCTGCACCAGTGGCCCCCTTCTCTGCTCTCACCTGCCATCCCACCCCACGCCACCCATGCACTCCTCTCACATTTCTACCCCTAGCCGCATACTCACTTCTCTTCAGTTCTCTCCTTTCCATTGAGGGGAGGGGCGTGGGGGTCAACACCGCCGCTCCCTCGCGCTCCTCCCCTGTGGCCGTGCAGGTGGCAGTGGTGGGAGGGGAGGGGGGCAGCACTCCACTCGGATGGGATGGGATGGGAGAGTATCGGGATTGGGTCGTCTGGAACAAGGTGAGCCTCTTTTCCCTCATGCACTCATGCTGCTGCTTGTTTTTCTCCCCATGCTCACTTCCCGTTTTTGCTCCCTTGCTTCCTTGTAGCTTCTGCCTACTCTTCTCCCCATTCTCACTGCTGTCCCTTGATCCCCTGCCTACCCCTGCCTTGCTCCCTCCCTCCCAGTACATTGAAGGCCGTAGCAGGGCAGCACGGGGGCAG